ACCTGATGTTTTGCATGGATGCGCATCGATGCCAGAGAATACAAAAGTATGGCATCGATGCGCACTCGTGCCTTACCGATGCCAATAAAAAAATTTTTTTGTAGGGGTATTCTCTTTCAAATGATTCATTATTTATTGCCAAGAAAATAAATTATTACTTTATAACATTACTTGACATTTTTCTTTTTTCCGGTTTGACTTTAGAAATCTAGTCAAAATGAATAAAAACATTTCTCCTATAGTAAATTGATTATTTGTTACAAAATTTCATAATTCCCATATATAGTAAATGACATCTTTACACTCAATGATAAAGAAGAAGAAAAAAATACTTATCATGGATCCTTCCTCTTCAACGTATTATCTATCCATATGCATCCCATGTAACTTCGAAACGCAGTGAAAACGCGTCGAAACGCGTTTTTGGTCGCATTTGAACGTGGTTGTCAAATAAAATAGGCAAAAATCGCATCCAAATGCGGTTTATAGATGCATCTACACGCTTTTCAACAGATCAAGCGCGTCTAAACGTATTTCTGATTTACATACGGTTCATTTTGGTATTGCACTAGAATTGCGTTTAAATGCGTTAAAGGTACGGATGCATTCTGCGGCTAGAATTAATTAAACACATCTAAACATATTCAATCGAACTCAACTATCTCAAATGCGTTTAGACGCGTTTCAAAATATAAAAGGTCTAGTTACTGAGTCGAATAATTAATTAAACTATTGAGTTTAAATTTTTTTGATGTTTTTGTATGAAATGTGGAATATTTGGCTGTGAATTTATCTGTTCTGTATGATAACCTAGTGAATAATATTAGTTGGTTATAATATCACTTTTTTCCATTATGTTTCATAACATTATAAATCGTGTTTTCACACGATAGAGTAGTCTAAAAAATATCTAAGTAATAATTATCTCGATAATATTTTCTTTGTAAAAAGAACAGAATTGTTTTCATGATATCAGTTTTCATCTTCCATGTTAAAACAAGTTCGTGCTTTTTCGAAATTGTAATTATTTATAGAAAGGAATCTTTTTGTATAAATAAATGACGATCTGCTAGATGATCCGATAGTACGAAAATGGTGAAATTGGTTGAGAATACGACAAATTAAATTAAAGTTAAATAAGACAAAAAGAAAATATTCTTTAATAAAAAAAAAAAAGAAATAGAAAAAACTTATAAATTTGTCTAATGAGATATAAACTGAGAATCACATTGAATTATGGTTATTTTTTTTTATCAAGGAATTGTTCTCATTCATACATTTAACTTTTTCTTCCAAAAAATAAAAAGTTTATTTTTATTTTATAAGAATCGAGCTATTATTTATACTTATTTTTAATAATTTCTTTATCTTTATTGTTTCTAGAGTATAATATAAACATTAATTAACAATCGATAGTTAAAAAGTATTTTTGTTCTTTATGTTTTATGCGTTTTCTTGTATTTCATTTAAGTGATACAGCGTTGCCTTATCAAAAGATATATATATATATATGATCGATTGATAAGCCAATGTAATTCATTGGTTATGGTACGTAAATTTATAATCAAACGTCTTCTGTTCTAGCCTCGTTCATTGCACAATTTTAAAAGTTCATCTAAAAAAATATAAAACTTATTCTGTTCGATTGCTTCGTGCAAGAGATGATCATCATGTGAACTTGATCATGATGCAGCTCGAATCTGCGCGAACAAAAGAATTTTTTTGCCAAAAATGGAATTCAAACGCGTTTAGACGCATTTAGTTTTTGAGCGCGTTTAGAAGCAAAAAATTTTTCACATGGGATGTACTTATATTTCGTCATAAAATATATATGTAATTTTAAAATTTTGTTTTCTTCTAAGTTTTCTTATATTAAAAGATATTTTATTGAAAATAACAATAAAACTCATCAGTTGATATATTTAAAATTAAAATATTTAATTATTTTTTACAATAAGTTTTTTGATGAGAGAAAAACAAAAGTAATTCAATCGAAATTATTCTATCGACTACGTAGGTCTTTATTATTGAATATTTTTTTCTTTCTTTTATATAATTTACAATAAAACACACAGCTTCTCTCTGTCTATAAGATTATTTTCAGATAAAATTTCTTTTTCAAAAAGCCAAACAAATTTTTAAAATTAACGTTTTCTTTTAAATCAAATTAGTAATTCGACCATTTTCTAGAAAATAGAAAATGTACTATGGTCTATTCCGACTTAAATCGTCTATTCATTCGTTAATTCAGTTTTAAATCATCTTGTTATTTTTTTTTCTATCTGTTTGAGCCCTACTGTAGTTTAAAAAGAATAAATTCTTTTATTAATCTTTTGCTGCAGCTGTCGCAAAGAAAATTATTCTTTATTTCTTTTTCTATAAATTTTTCAAATACTTATGCAGTCAATGTTGATTTTCCACTTATTATCTAGAAAATCAAACATTTTCGAGATACTCAAAAATCATAAAGATTGATTTTTTGAAAAATAGAATTTAAACAAAAAAATTTACAGTGTACCTCCTTGAATAAAATATTTCTTAACTTCAAAACAAAAAAAAACTTAGATTTTCATCTCCTACTCATAATATTTTTCTTTCTATTTTAAGGACCACCACCACTACGAGCACCTGCAATTGATATTCATCCAAATGCTCGATGGCAACAGAATGGTATCACTGTTGCTGGAGGAAATGGACTAGGCAATGATATCAATCGACTCTCTTCCCCAAACGGTTTGTATGTTGATGATGATCAAAGAATTTATGTCGCTGATCAAAATAATAACCGCATTGTGGAATGGAAATCGGGTGCGACGAGTGGCAAAGTGGTTGCAGGTGGAAATGGATACGGAAATGGAGCTCATCAGTTGCATTACCCATCAGATGTAATTGTCGACAAAAAGACAGATAGTCTCATCATCTGCGATTATTCGAATAAAAGAGTAGTTCGATGGCCTCGTCGAAATGAGACAAGTGGAGAAACAATCATCTCCAACATCAATTGTTGGGGTTTGACAATGGACGAGAATGGATCTCTCTATGTCGTTGACGTTGGAAAAAATGAAGTGAGACGATATCGAAGAGGAGAATCTCAAGGAATAGTGGTTGCAGGTGGCAATGGAAGTGGAAATCGTCTCGATCAACTCTCTGCCCCAACATGCGTATTCGTGGATCGAGATCATTCAGTGTACGTGTCTGAGGTGCGAAATAATCGTGTGATGAAATGGGTGGAAGGTGCAAAGCAAGGCATTGTCGTGGCTGGTGGTCAAGGAGAAGGAAATGGTCTTACACAATTGCAGTGGCCTCGAGGAGTCGTTGTCGATCAATTGGGCACTGTCTATGTGGCTGATTGGCAGAATCAACGAATCATGCGTTGGCTCAAAGGAGCGACACAGGGAAGTGTGATTATTGATGGAAATGGTAAAGGAGAACAATCGAATGACGATTGGCCCCAAGGTTTGTCATTCGATCGACAAGGTAATCTCTATGTCGTCCATTGGGGAAATGATCGAGTACAAAAATTTAATATTATTCAATAGAATACACGAACGCTTAAATTGATTTTACCTTTGTTTATTGTTGTTAGATACATAATGCAACCATGATAATGAACCGAAATATTTTCCTTTAATTTTATTATGAAAACTGTCAAATGGATAACTACAGTAAAATGAAATATATCTGCCTGCTCCTGAACTGAA